TGATGAGACCGGCAGGTAAGTGGGATCAACACAGCTCAGTCAGCTGAGTCATCTTCACATGGGCTGTTATGCCTGAAGGCTGTGCGTCCAAACCTATGAACATGGTGGCACGGGAGGCTTGCAATCTCCAAGCAGTTCGAGGTCCAACCAGCCATGCTAGCACTAGGCCCATCACTGTAGGCACAAGCTACTTCCCATCGGGCCAGTAGATCCCTTCTCGCAATGATGAGATGCCACAAAGCATTGTGAGGTCCTCAGCGCCCAGGAGAGCTCCTGGGCCAGCGCTGGCACGACGCTGGAGGCTATAAATTTCGATTGTGGAGCATGAGAAGCAAGCTCGTTCTAGAGGGTGACAAGGGCGGTGAACGAGTACGCGGTTGGGGCTTAGTTCACCGCACCTGTCGTCCGTTCTGAGTAGGCCAAGCTCCTCGAACCCTTGGACCACGGAGCGGGTTTAGGGAGGAGTTGCTGGGCTCACTTTGGGGGCTCCAGAAGCACTTAAAACCCGAAACCTAGGGTTTCAGGGGCCTAAAACCCGAAACCCAGGGCTTAGGCACCTAAAACTCGAAACCCAGATTTCAGGGTTCAGGGTATATTCCCCTCAACCCTGAAACTCCTCCTCAAGCTTTCCTTTTTCTAGATGAGGATCTCTTATAAACCCCAGCAGGGCTGCCTTTTTTTTTCATTACGCTACTGGAACCCTGCCCTGCACCCTGAACCCTATACACCCTAAACCCTAAACCCTAAACCCTAAACCTGGCAGTTCACCTGCCAGGCCCTGCGACAGTCCCTGCTGCAAGCGTCGGCCACGTCCTACAACTCCCTCCTCGGCGCCCGCAGCTGAGCCGTGGCTTGTCGCTTTAAGGATTCCATGGTTGGTGCTTTAGGGTCGTTGGGGGGCCTTCTTGGGGGCTTTTGGGAGTGTTGGCTTGCAGGGGTTTTCGGCGTGTTCACTACTGGATTTAAGAGGATCTTGTCCAGGAGGACTTCTCAGCGTTTCAAAGGCCAACATCGTGTAAAGCTCATCACACCTCGAAGCCGTGTACCAAGGCCCTGATCAAATCTCTCCATATCTTGAGGGCTCAGCCTTGGTCTAGTATCTTAACCCCCAAACAGATAGAACTGCAGACTGTAGCCACCCTGCTTATACTCCAGTGGGATGAACTAGCCATGAGTCCCCAAGTAGCTTTAGATCCATAAATCAACCCTAGACCAAAAAACCCTAAATCCAAAACCCTATACCCTACAGACTTACTACCCCATGTGCCCTTCCCGAGTTTATGTCTTCGGCTTCTTTTCCGCCAGAGGCGTGCGAGAAGTGCTCCTTTTGGAGCGACACGCTCTCCCTGTGCGCAGCTGAGAACTTACTTCCAGGTTGTGGTTTATACCTCTGACTCCCAACCCCCTACAAATTAGCAGGTTTCAACCCCCTAAATAACCCCCCCCCCCCAAATAGTCGGTAAATGGAGCCCCAAGAATGATTTAGGGATGTAGGGTTTTAGGTAGACTAATTGCCTGGAGATTATTAGGTGTGGGCCATGAGTTTGATGGCCCGGGACATGTCTTCTGAAGGCTCAATGAGAATAAAAAGTGAACCAAGCTAAGCCTCACCACATTTCGGGGAGAACTTGAAAAGCGGGTGTTGAGGAGCCTCAGCCCCAACTGGGACCGAATAAGCCGAAGCCCTGACCAGGGGGGTCTACTTCCAGGGGGTCTGGGCCAGGGCGCGCCTTCAAGATTTTAGGGATCTGAGGGTCTGAGGCTCGTGGGTGTGGAGTTTAAGGTGCAGGGTTTACAGGTTTACAAGGGGTGTCGCCCCTCGGCCCTTGCTGCATGCGCTCTTGAACGAGCTGCGCGCCTCTCAGGCTCTCGCAGATGCCTTGCCTGCCGCTATCCACCGACGCGTTCAGCGAGAGCGCCGGCATCACCGCCTTAAACAAGGCACAGGGTTGTGGGTTTTTGGGGGGGGGTTTTGGGTTTAGGGTTGTCTAGGGTTGAGGGTTTAGGGTTGCCTAGAGTTGAGGTCGAGAGTGTTGGGCCACTTGCTATGGGTTTGTCATGTCTAGGGCTTAGGGTTGAGCACTTTAGGGTTCATGGGTGGTCATTGCACGTGCTGCAAGGTGGATGGACATGTCCTTGCGGGGGCTCTAAGGACTAAGCTGAGTAGATTGTGAGGTTCCAGCTATCACGCATGGACCCCCAGTGATGCCCTCGTTGTTCTGCTTTTCTTAAGGGTTCGGTTCAAGTTTTTAGTGCCTGATTGTGACCTTGTGGGACAACAGCAGATTGGGGACTGTGAGGCTCGTCTGCCCCCTACTCCATGCCATCCGATACCCCCCGAGCCCCTCCTCCCTCCTCTTTGCAAGGTTGCCCCTCTCACATCAGCGGAGTGTGGGAGGAGAGCCTGAAGCCTGACGGCCCTAACTTCTAAATCCCTACACAGGGTATCCCATGGCCTCCCCAAATCCCGCAAGAGGCCAAGCGCTGGGAGGCGGCGCTTCTGAGATTCGGCCGCGCCCCCATTTTTTGGTTGTCGGCATATTCGGCCGCGCCCCCATGTTTTGGTTGTTGGCATTCAGGGGTGGGGTGGTTTAAGTCGGAACCTTCAGCCGCCTGAACTTGGAACCCTAAACCTCAGAAGCTGACAAAGTGGCGCACGAGCATGAAGAGCTGAGCTTTAAGACGGGTGGGGCTGAGGGATCAGGGCTTAGGGGAATTCAGGGCCTTGAGCCCTCGACGACACAAGCGCCCTCTGCCAAAGACCTCAGCCTCTGACCCTAAACCCTAAACCCTAAGTTGGCCCAGCACCTAAACCTTGAACTGAACCTAAACCCTAAATCCTACACTGGCCCTAAACCCTAAACCCCCGATCCTACACCCAAAGAATTTCAAGTGCTGTCCCACTGTGAGGCTGGGCAGATGTTGCTGCCCGGAGTGCAGGATCCCCAGCATATTCGGCATATAGAGGCAACGGCGTGATTAAATACACACATATACCCATGATATACATATATATATATATATATATGTATGTATGTACATTTTAATTTACTTCTTTATTTAGATCATTATCTTGATTGTTTTTTTCATTTGGTTAGTTATTTGTATGTTCTATACATTTCTATGTTTATTCACATATGTATATAGACATACATAGATATGCATACAGTATACACAGAGGGGGAGGTTGCGTTTCAGAAGGGCCTGCCTTGGGGCTGGGACCGGCGTTCTTACATAGCAGGTTTACAGTGTACATCGAAAGACTTCGGCATGGTATCCTCGTTCTCAAAGCTTGGGTTTAGGTCCCCCACTCTCTCTCTCTCTTTCTCGCTCTCTCACTTTCCTCTCTCGCTTTCTCTTTCTTTTCTTTCTCTCTCTATCTCTCTCTATCTCTCTCTCTCTATCTCTCTCACTTTCGTTCTCAGTTCTCTCTATGTATCTCTGTATACAGGGGGGCTGCTATTTTGGGCAGGAGAACTAATGACTAGCTTGCCCCTACATACTTCAAACCTTCCCTCAAGTAGGGTTTAGGGTAGGCTTCGGGTTCAGGGTAAGGCTACATGACGGTCCAGGACTCAGCCTAAACCCCTAAGCAAAAAGCCTTGAACTCTCTCAAGTATGGAGATCGCGCAAGCATGTTTTCAATGTCTACGGTACTCTTGCGTTCGGGATGAAACTCTGGAGCAATGTAGGAGAGAATCCAGGCGGTGCCGACTCGCGACTTTTATAGATAGGGCAGCTATAGGTATGCTAGGGCGAAGAAAGGGATTTCTCTATGTGTTCTCTTGGAATGAAGTCTTCCTTCGACATTGAAACAGTGTGCGTAGTTTTAATCAGACTCCTTGCAACACCTTAAACCCTAAACCCTTGCTCTCCAGAATCTGGCGGCGCCTGAACCTTAAAACCTAAACCCTAAACCCTAAACCCCAAACCCTAAACCCTAAACCCTAAACCGCGCAGGTGGTGACCTTCGGGGCCGTGCTGACGGCCTGCGAGCGCGGCGGCCAGCTTGGGCCTCGCCTCCGTTCCCACTTGTTTGCTTCTTGGGTTTTTTTGGTTTTAGGGTTTAGGGTTTAGGGTTTAGGGTTTAGGGTTTAGGGTTTAGGGTTTAGGGCTCTTTAGGGCACTTTTAGGGTTAGAGGTTGTGGTGATTAGGATGCTTGTTGCTGTTTTAGTTTGTTTTTGCTGGGGGGAGGGTGGGCTTTCTAGGGTTTTCAGATGCGTTCAGGGCTTTAGGCACGTTGGGGGCTTTTTGGGCAAGACGAAGCTAGAATCCCCCCAACCCTTCCACCCCCCCCCCTACACACCAAACCCCGCGAGCTCTAAACCACCCCCCTAAACCCTAAATCCTAAACCCTAAACCCTAAACCCTAAACCCTAAACCCTAAACCCTAAACCCTAAACCTTGGCTGTTCTGCACCTCTAAAACCGCCGCCAATGGGCCCGTTGCTCAGGGAAGCCCGGAATCGAAGCCCGGCTTCTGCCTTTGAGTGCAAATGTCCCTAGCGCCAAAGCCTTCTAACCAATTTTTTAGGGTTTAGGGTTTAGGGTTTAGAGTTTAGGGTTTAGGGTTTAGGGTATATCAACGCCAGAAGCTCCAAAACCCCTCAACCCTGAGACCCCCAGGGTAAAGTTATCAAGCCCATGGACGCCAAACGAACTCCGGCAACGAGCCGAGCCCTTTTTTCTTGGTTCGCTGCTACTAGCCCAAGTTAAGTTATCAGAATCGGGTTTGGGGCTCACCAAATGCAACTATTCGGGTCCCAACACCTACCCCACTGCCCTGAACTTCTAAACCCAAAGTAGGTTGCGAGTTACATCCCCCTCTCCCCCCTGCCACCCCACCAGAGCAAATTCGCCAAACCACTAACCCTGAACCCCTACCTCCCCCCCCCCCCAAAAAAATAAAAAAGAGAGATAAGAAAAACCCAAGAAATCAAAAACAAAATAAAGTCATCTTCGCCCCGTATGCCATTGGCATCCCGCCAAAGCTCCTTTCCATGGAGCTGCGCCGCCGTGGGGCTGCCAAGGAGGGCAAGGAGGAGGCCTCGCGCTTCTTCGTGGGGGGGGGGTGGAGCAGAAACGACGGGGCCTTTTGGGGGGCCTTCCTTGTGTGGCTCAGTTCGAGGTACCCTTAAAGGGGACCCTTGTGATATGATTTAGGGAACCTACGCGCTAATTACTGAACTTGGGACGCGGGGCCATCCTTGTCAGGTCCTCTGTCGCATTTGCCACGATGGGAGTGGCACGCTGGTGCGCGCCTGCGGCTGCAAAGGCTCCCTCGCGCACGTTCATCCGGAGTGCCTGCTGCGGTGGCGGGCCTATTCCCCCAAGGCAGCGTCGGTGTGTGAGCTCTGTGACTTGCCATACCGACTACCTGGTCCGCTGGGTTTCTGGGCTGACAGAGAGAAATTTAAGCACCTAGCAGAAGGAGAACCAGACTTGTAGCTTAGTATGGTAACCGAAGCATGGTAACATGCGGCAAGTTCCCTTCTACCAACCACACCCAGGTTGTGGCCAGACGTCGGCTCTGACCTTGACGCTGCTGGCGCTGTTCATGACCTGGCTCTCCCTTCTGAGAGATGTCCTGGTCGTCAATGGGTCGCTCCTGCCCGCGGCAAAGCACTGCAACGTGGGGGAGTTCACCTCCCCTTGGCGGCGAGCCCTGCGGGGCCTCTTTGAGGCGGCCGACCTCGACCAAGACGGGGCCATGTCCCTGGACGAGATGCGGATGCTGGCCAACCGCACTGGAGAAAAAGTCAGCGACGCAGTGCCCAGGCTGAAGCTTCGAGTATCTTACATCTGAAACCCTAAACCCTAAACCGTAAACCCTAGACCTGTCCTCGTTGGGCTCGGGGGGCGGAGGAATCTCGAAAAGTTTGCGGTAGTTTGCGACTGGTGGGGGCCAATCCTTTAGGTGCTCGAGCTGGCGCTCAAGCATGCGGACCACACCGAGCGGGGCCTCACGGTGCAAGGTCTGCGGCAGACGTACGAGCGGGACAGCGGCGCGGTGCTGCTGCAGGAGATTTGCACCGTGGACCCTATATACACATGTATGTATGTTTATATATATATATATATAGAAAAATACATTAATTATACATCTGTTTATTGATTTTTGTTTGTTTATATTTATATTTCTATTTATGTTTATATTTATATTCTATACATAGAGAGAGAGAGAGAGAGAAAACAGTAGATTTGAATGATCCCTGATAATCCTTCTCATTGTGCCAGCGTAGACCCGAAGCTTCGTCAGACCACTTCGCAAGCACTCCAAGAGCACCCTTGGACCCGTCCGAGAGCACTCCAGCGAATCCGGTTTCCTTTTTGCCCTGAACTTGGGAATTCATATGGTTTTTTGAAAACTAGGGGTACCCTTTTCGAATCTATTTTGGGTATGAAAGTGGTACCCTTATTCTGGGAATACCCATATTTCCCAAAAGACCCATTCTGGGAAAGCAACGATGTTATAAGCTACTAAGCTACCCGGCAAGAATCCCAGGCTACTTAAACGAAGGCCCTGTAGTAGCTTGCCATGTCTTGCTGTCGATCTTGCAGGATCTCAAGATCTATAACCTGTCGCACCTCCTTCGGCATGAGGAAGGCAGGCTTCTCCGTGAAGACTCGGGTACCCAGAGACTCCAAAACCCCTTAATTTAGGAATATACCTTAAGTCATATTAGGGTTCCTACTGTAATTTAAGGTATATTGCTTAATTAAAGGGTTTTGGAGTCTCTGGGTACGTCTAAAGATAAAAACTCTGTAGGGCATTGTTGGTTTGTGAGGAAAGAAGAGCAATATAGTACCACAATAACCCCTGAACCCCCCCTAAGACCCTACACCGTAAACTCGTTCTTTACTATCCAACAATAACCCCTAAACCCGAAACCCTAAACCAACAAGCACTACAAAGGGGTTTCTAATCCCTAAACCGAAACCCCAAACCCTAAACCAACAAGAGCCCCCAAAAGACTTCTCATAAACCCTACGCCCGAAACTCTAAACCTTAAACCAACAAGAACCCCTAAGGCCCGAAACCCTAAACCCCAAAACAACAATAACCCCAAGGGGCTTTTCAACATCCCTAAACCCTAAACCCGAAACCCGAAAACCCAAACCAACAAGAACCCGGAGGGGCTTTCAGAACAATCCTAAACCCTAAACCCTAAAAGCCAAGAACCTGGGAGGCTGTTCAGTCGCACGTAAGCCCAGACCCTAAACCCTAAATCCTGAACCCTGAACCCTAAATCCTAGACCCTAAACCCTAAACCCAGTTTATGAAAAAAAAACAAATGGGAGGCGACCTGCGACCTGTGGCCTCGGCGCTGGCCCTCGCGGCCTCGGCCGTCTCGGCGCGCGAGGCACCCTCCAAGGATTTGGGTTTAGGGTTTCAGGTTTAGGGTTTAGGGTTTGGGGTTTATTAGGTTTGTAGGGTTTGCAGGGTTTGTAGGGTTTGTTGGGTTTGTAGGGTTTATTGGGTTTGTAGGGTTTATAGGGCTTATAGGGTTATAGGGTTTTTGGGGTTTATGGGGTTTATAGGGTTTTTTGGGGTTTATGGGGTTTATGGGGCTTGTAGTGTTTGTAGGATTTAGAGGGGATGGGAGGGGAGGGGGTTCAGGTTCAGGGTTGATACTGTTTTGTAGGGTTTCGGGTGGGAGGGCGGGAGGAGTTTCGTTCGGTCTTGCGGGTTCAAGCACAGGGTTGACGGTTTCTATAAGTTCGGGGTTTAGGGTTTAGGTATTTAGGATTTAGGGTTTAGGGTCTAGGGTTCAGGGTTTAGGGTTTGGGAGGGGGGGTGGAGGAGCAAAACCGGGCCCATGTTGAAGCAACCTTTCATCGCCGACAGGTACCAGTCTTACTACCCTAAACCCAAAACCCAAAATCATCCCAAAACCCCAAAGAGGTTTAGGGTTCAGGGTTTAGATGGCATAAGTACAATAAACCTGCAAAAGTTCGACTCTCGAACACATTTAAAGGTTGTAGAAAGGCAGTCTAAGAATGTTATGAACGGCTGCTTTCGTAGTTTTTTTAAAGAATATGTTTTTAAGAATATGATTGAACATGTTCATGGGGTTTAACTACCCCGTTTGGGCAGCTGAGGGTTTTGGCTTTGTTGGCACCCGTTGAATTGTAAGGAACATGCTTCAAGAGACACCCGAAAAGGGACCATAGTTTGGATCAACACCCCAATGTAAAGGTTCCATCCTCAAGCGAAGGCATGGCGCCTCTTGCCATTGAGCCCCTTGATGCACCTCCAGTGGCGGCACGTTGCTGGCCAAGGACAGCAAGTCTCCCAAAAAATTGGCCTTTCCCTTATTCTCACGGCAACTCGATCCCCCAGTTAGAAATCTCCTGAGTCTTAGCTCCAATAATGTTAGCTTCATAGTCTTGTGGGCCTAGGTGTTTAATCGAATAAACATAGTATAGGACCCCCATGTTCCACCTTAGCTTAAACCCCTCTGCATAACTAGGAACTTCTGCACCATTCCTCTCAACCTGCGCCCTAAAACATCCCATTAAAGGTAGCGCCCTCGAACCTCTGAACCCCGAAGCTGTAAACCCTAAATCCTCAACCCGAAACCCTAAGCCCTAAGCTCTCAACCGTAAACCCGAAACCCGAAACCCTAGGCCCCCCAAACCCAAGCCCAGTAAACGCTCAACCCGAAACCCTCAGCCCTGAAACCTCAACCCGAAACCCTAAACCCTAAACCCTAAACCCTAAACCCTCGGTTCCCAGAAGGACTGCTCGTCCTGGCCCTGGTCCTGCTGCTCCACTCCTGGCAGTGCACGGGCGCACCGCGCCCGCAGTTCGGCTGTGGGTTTTGGGTTTAGGGTTCAGGGTTTTAGGGGTTTAGGGGTTTAGGGTCTTAGGGTTTTCGGGTTTTAGGGTTTTACCGTTTAGCGTCTAGGGTTGAGGGTTTAGGTTTGGGGTTGAGAGTACTTTAGGGTTTTGGGATCCGTTATCCTTTTAAGGCTCGTGCGCAGATTTTTCTTCGCAGGGTCACGAGGTACCTTGAATATGCTGAAACGAGTTTTACATGCCACTCCCAGGGCTTTCTTCCCCCAGTTTGTGTTTTTTTTGCGGGTGCTCCGCGATTGCCTCGAGCATATGAACCAGTGGCCACGGGCACTTTTGAAGCATGTCGCTCCTCAGCTTGGAGTTCGTGGTTTTGTGGGAGGGTTCAGGACCCCTAAACCCCTCCCCCCCCCCCGTTAAGCCCAACCCCAAAACACACTGAAAGGCGAAGTTTTTTTCTTCAAGCCCCACGCAAGCACGAGCCCCTGAGTGGGTGAGGGTTTGGGGGGGAACCCTCAAGCCGAAGCCGAAGACCCCCAAACCCCTGAGCCACTCAGCCAGCTCCACCCTAAACTCCCTCAAGCCCCTAAACCCCCCCACAACTCCCCTTAAGCCCCTGATGCCCTAAACCCTAAACCCTAAACCCTAAACCCACTCCCCTGTGGCCGAGCACCCGCCAGGCCGTGTTGGCCTTCACGGTGGCAGCATGGTGGGGGACCCTGGCCCTGGTGCGGGCTTCCAGGGTTTACTGGGTTTAGGGTTTAGGGTTTAAGGTTTGGAGTCTATAGGGTTGAGGGATCCGTTCGGGTTAACTAGGTAGGCCTTCGGGACATTTTCTGTTTTCCCGTACTGGGTTTAAGAGGACAATATTTGGGAACATTTTTCAGAGGGTCTTTAGGGCCATTCTAGTTCAGGGTTTAGTAAGCTCGGCGGGGGGAGGGGGGGGGGGGGTTGCGGTGTAGGGAGTGTAGGGTTCATAAGGGTTTAGTAGTTTAGTAGAGGAGTTTAGGGTTTTCGGGTTTGGGTTTCATGGGGCTCTGTATGAAGAATGTGGCGCCAGCGGGTTTTGGGTTTTAGCGATTTCGGGGGTTTTAGGGCCGCCCCCTGCGCGTGCGCTCTCGAAACTATTCCGCCGCTTCTGTCGAGCGGCTCTTGAAGAGAGCGTAGATATCTCGCATGCCTGCTTATATTGTATAGGAAGCCTCCTTCAGCCGTTCATGGGTTTCCCTGCGAGTGACGCGCTGTCCTCCCTTTGGAAGCAGAGTGGCGTCCCATCACTGGATGGCATACGTGCCATAAGCTGCATTTGGGTGTCCTTCTCCCATGCGTTCTTCCTCTGGGAGATGTCAGCCATGTCCGCTCCCGAGACCCAACGGCTGTTCCTAAAGTCCTGGTGGCCGGTGGCCGTGCCCTTGAATGGAGATATGGGCGTGGATTTCTTTCTCCTCCTGTCCGGCTACCTCATTGGCAGCTCGGTGTTCAATGAAATCAGGGATGCTGCATCCTTCGCCTGGGTGCCGTTCTTAATTCGCAGAGTCTTCCGCATCGCCCCGGTGTTCTACATGACGGTGTTCCTTGCGATAGCTACGCAACTTTGTCATAGTTGGGTAACGTTTTACCTCTTTAAGGGTACTTAAACCCAACAAGGAATAAAGATCTCATTTTTTAAAAATTATCCCTATAATGAACTAGGCAAGGGCTCGAGGCCTGCAAGCTTGCGTGGTGGAAGAAGCTCCTGTTCATCGAGAACATGACGGTCAACTTGCAGGACGAAGGGCAGCTTGGTACCATGTTACCCTCTTTTGGGCTTATATGACACAGAATGCAGTATCCAACCCCCCAAAAAGGGTACTCTTATTGTGCTATGCTTACAGGCGCTCGTATATGCAGTATCCAACCCCAAAAGGGGTGCTGTTATTGTACTTCGTAGCCCAGCGGTACCTTTTTGCCCTTTTTTGGGGTTCTGAGTTCCTTTATTATTTATAAAGTATAAAGTATCCAACCCTAAAAAGGGTACCCTTATTGTGCCATGGTTACTGGGGCTTCCAAGGCAATGTGCTCCTCAGACTTGGTCGGTGAGCCTCGACGCTAGGATGCATAAAGTGGCACCCGCTCCCGCCCTTGTTCCGCTTGGGGTTAGGATCTTTCTTTTTAAGCCAAATATTAAGCAAAGAGGGGTGCCCCTTTCCATAGTTCTCCCAACTGAGGAGATGCAGCTCTATTTGGCCACTCCCCTGGTAGCGATGCTGGCATTCCGCTTGCGGCGCCATTTTGCATGGGCTCTTATCGGCATCTGTGCTTGCGCGTGGATTGCGTGTGGTGTGGCTCGTCAGGTTGCCTTGCCTGATGTGGTTGCCATGAAGGGGAGCGTGTGGTACACGGGGACGCAGTATCGATGCGCCCCATACGTCATGGGAGTGGCAGTCTCTGTTCTTTGCAACAGGTCGTTCCAGGGGGACACTCCCTTCCCTTCAACAAACAACCTTCTACACAGAACCTTGGCCCTTCTGTCTTGTGTCATTCTTGCTGACTGCGCTTACTTTGGAGGTGGTGGACCCTTGCTAGGTTTCGAGAGCCCAATGGCAAGATGGCCCTTCGGCCCACAAGCCGCGAGGTTGCACTTCGTACTGGGACGTCCACTCGTCGGCGCTGTGGCAGGATACCTTCTTTGGAGGAACCTCAACGGCCGCGACGTGTGCATGCACAAAGTCCTTGCAGCACCCATCTGGCGCCCCCTGGCGCGGCTGAGCTACTCTGCCTACATGTTGCAGGTGGTGAACTTTGCTGTTGCCCCTTTGGTCCTAGCTCCACTGGCCGACCCTAAGAGCAGTGTTGCAAAAGCGGTCGCTTCTCTTCCTCAAGCCGCTTTGGCTTGCCTGTGCTACACATGGGCGGTGCTCTACACCCTCTTCGCCTTCGCGCTGGCGCTTGTGAGCTACGTGGCCGTGGAAGTCCCTGGCATAGCGATGGGCCAGCGACTCACCTCCAAGCTCAAGAAGCCGAAGCTCCTGATACCAAACCTCAAGCAGCCGCTTGTGGCTCAGTAGTGCTGGCGAGGGCGCGAAACTCGCGGGGACAGCAGCTTGTGCTTCTATGAAGGTCGTGAAGTTCTATGCCATCAAGTCCCTATAGATTCCAGATATGGGACTTCGAGGCTTTTCTATTTCCCTACTTCCCTGTTTAGGGCTTAAGTGGATCTTGGCAAGGAATCTTCTTCGGAACCTAGAGTACTGCGATGACCTGCAACGTCTGGCGCGATGGGTCCGCCCCCCTTTGGGTTCCTTATGATAGGAGCCCTGTGTTGCATAGATTCAGGGTTTAGGGTTTAGGGTTTAGGGTGATCCCCGAGACCTTAAACCCTAAGCCAAACAGGCACCGATAAGTTGTCGAGAGCTACCTCATGGTGAATGCGCACACGCGGGTTCACACCCCATAAAGCCCTGTAAGCCCTCAACAAACCCTTAGCAAAGGGTTTAGGGTTTCGGGTTTAGGGGTTAGGGGTTAGGGTTAAACCCTTGATAAACCGTGGTGAAACCCTCAATAAACCCTTTATAAGCCCTAGTGAAACCCAAGCCCTAGAGGCATAACGGCCTGGAGCCCTGTAATGTGGCGAATGGTCAAAGCTAAACGCGGTGTGAGCAGCAACTACCTGTACGGGGTATACATGTACATACGTACATTTTGGATATAAATACAAAACATGATTGCAAGCATCAGTTCAAGCAAGTGGATGTGGGTCATGCATATATATATATATATATATATATATATATATATATATATACAGTTCTATAAAGACTCATGACTCATACCTGGTACGATTGTTGCCGCTCTTGCTATTACGAGTCATGTTGCACCCTCTTTAGTGTGCCCCCCCCCCCCCCCCCGGTGCCCCCTCTCCCCCCGACAGTCGAGGCTGGGTTTGCTCCTGTTTAAAACCTCCCGCGGGCTTATATGATTTTAATAGGGAGGAGTTCAAGAGGGGCAGCGATGCACGGCAATTGGTTTTAAAGGCGCGACGTGTGGAATTTTCTTGCGGCGCCCGGTCGATTTGACTTTAAAGAGGGACCTGGTCTGCAACCCCAAACAGTCAGGGTGTTCTGAACAATCCAGCCACATTGACCGGGGTCCCCTACTAAACAGGGTGCAACATTTTATTACTATGATTTATCACTAGCATGTTTTACCGAACCTATGGCTCTGAGTCTCTGAGGCCTTGCGCCTTGCTTGTGGACAGCCAACCACCCAGGCCGAGGCCTTGGAACAGAAGGTTTATCGGGAACCCTAAGCCCCAAACCCTAAACCCTAAACAAGGGGATTTAGGGTTTTGGGCTTATAAGGGTTCAGGGTACTTCGTGAGATCCGGAATGAAGTATATGCTCCAGTCAACTGCTCTGGCAGGTTCTGGGGGGGCAGTTGCAGTGCTCTTTTGGGGGGGTGCTCGTAAAACCCTGGAAGCCCTGAAACTGTCAACCCCTAAGAAACTCCACATCTCCCGGCGTCGTTGGGAGGATGTCTTGTTGAACATCTACCGATCTGCACGGGGAGGGGGCGGAGTTTACCTTTGTTGTTGGATGTCGATCTATACCAAGGGTCTCCTTCCCAAGCCTCCTTAGACTGTTCGATAGTCGAGGGTGCCAATTCGCCCATAGCTGCCCCATGCCCTAAACCCCAAACCCTAAACCCTAAACCTGAAAATCTAAACTCCAAAACCTTTGAAGCCTCCAGAATTCTAAACCCTGAAGCATTCAGGATCCCCCAGCCCAGCTAATGCCCTAAACACAAGACCCTCATCCCAACTCATCCCAAGCTCTAAACCCGATGCCCTCAGCGGCAAATGCAATCCGGCAAATACCTGAGCTACCTGACAACTTGGGGCAACAAAAACAACACACTCGGGACTTTTGGAGCTTTTTGGCCCCCCCAACCCCACCCCTCAGGGCAAGCAGAAGCGGTCTCTCTATCTCGCACCGCTCGTTTTTTTTCACAGATCGCTCGGCGTCCACATTGAGGGACTGCGGTCCCCACATATCTATCGGCGTTGCGCGAAGTTAGGCCTCACTGTTGTTCTCACGGCGTCTACATGGCGTTCAGTCTGGCAGTGCGTACAACCGTTCTCAATTGTGCACATACTGGGTAGATGTGGAAGTCGTGCCGTCAGACGGAAGTCGAGAGAATGCGAAAGAAAAAGCGAAAGATAAAGAAAAGAGACAGAGACAGAGAAAGAGATCGAGAAGGAGAAAGATCAAGCGAACGAGACAGAGATAGAGACAGAGATAGAGACAGAGAAGGAGAAAAAGAAGAGAAAGAGAAAGTGCGAGAGAGAGAGAAAGAAAGAGAAGGAGAAGGAGAAGGAGAAGGAGAAGGAGAAAGAGAAAGAGAAAGAGAAAGAGAAAGAGAAAGAGCCCAATTTGCGGACGCAACGCTCGCATGATCGGCTTGGAAAGGTTTCTGAGTTGTGAAAGAAGGTCCAGTCATAGCACGCCAGATTTCGAAACAAGTTTGCATGGCCTGGCTTTGCGTTTGCGCGGCGTTAAAGAGCCGGGACCCCCCCCCCCGCCCCCCCCCCCCCCCCACCCCCCCCCCCCCCCTCCCCCCCGCTCCCCCCCCCCACCCCCCTCCCCGCCCCGCCCCCCCCCCCCCCCCCCCCCCCCCTCCCCCTTTTGTGGGCATCAAATCCCCGTGGTGTGTTTTGCATATGGGATAAGACTTCTCTAATTGCAGGTGTGGGTGTTTATATGCGGGAAATATGTGATTGGCGTTTACCTCTCCATCTTCGTAGATCCTTTGGGATTTTCAAAGGATCGGGCACCTATTGCTACAGGTGCAGGGGCAGGAGGGGTCGTTAAGATCACACTTCACCAAGGCACACATTCAAGAATCAACAAAAGTTCCCAAATGCAAACCAGAAGAGCAGTAAGCCAACTGAGCGTAGTTGTCTAAACAACCCCAAACAGCAGACCTTGAACTGACAATCAGATGGATGATTGTTAAGGAGGTTTGAATCGTGTTCCTTGGATGCACTCCCCAAACCATCCAAGCAGAGGCCTGGGCCACAGCCTCCCGAGGGCTTCGCCACCAGGCAGACGTTTTCACGTTTTCAAGGTTCAGGCGGTTCCGGAACCCCCGCAACCTGGTTTCAATGCTTGTTGGAAGTGGGTAGTCCACAACCACACAGCTATTAGCAGGTCACTTAACTTTTAAAAATTGGTCCTGGACCTAGTGTGAGGGGGGTGGGGGGAAGAACTTAGCACCGTTTAGGTTTAGTGATGTCAGGTTTCGACCTCCGAACGACCTTTAATCAAGGACTTTACCGTGGGGCTATCAGGCCGTACTTGAAAGACGCTTTGGGAACAGGCCGGGGTTAGGGAGGGTAATTGCGCAGCGCCGCTTGAAGTGTCCGAACTTTGGCCCACCGTTGTACAGATTTAGGGTTTAGGGTTTCGGGTTTAGGGTTTAGGGTTCAGGGGGTTCAGGGTTTAGAGTTTTCTTACAAGGGATCTAGATTTCTCTCTAAAGCCTCTCTTAAGCAAGAGTGGATGCCTTCCTTCCACCGAGTCCACGCCGCAACCTAGCAAGAAAAGTCATGGGCAAGAGCCTCTTGAGCAATTGCATCATCTGAAGGGATATCCAAAAAGCCGTTTAAAAGCTTAACATGCCATTTAGGGTGTAGGGTTTTGGGGTTTTGGGTTTAGGGCTTAGGGTTCACCTAAAGGTGCGTAGGAATGTGTAGGGGGGCTTAGGGAATACTAGTATTCCAAGAGTTGGGTTCAAACTTTCCACGCCCTAATAGCCCTCAAGTTGTCCTCAAGCCCCTTGAACAGCAAAGAAGTGTAGGGCTTTGGCTACAATGAAAACGCCTCAATGCCCCTATCTCCCCCTTGGGAATTATTTTTTATGTTTGCTTCTATACAAAACAAGAGGACATTAGAAATATTATCTTCATTAAGGTTCTTAAGGGAGTAGAGAATACCCCGAAGAATGCTCATTTCACCAGGCCAAACACCACGTGCGTGCCAAAACGCCCGCCCGAGGCGAAGGTCCGAGAGGGTCTAGGGTTGAGGATTTAGGGCTCAAGCTTCTATTGGTTTCCTAGCCCTTAGAACCCTAAACCCTAAACCTAAACCCCAAACCCTAAACCCTAAACCCTAAAGAGAGCCCAATACCCCCGAGCTACAGAACGCACTTCCTTTTTTCGTATTCGGACCCCTATGAGAATACCAGGTTTTCCAACAACCTACAGGCTCACGGAAAGCCATACCGTAGGGTCATATAACCCCAAGTAAGGTGGAAAGCTGCAATCGCTAAATCACAGTCATCCTGCCTCGATGAATTACTTACCCATGAACCGCCAAGTGGGACCCTCAACGGCATCTCTGTTCACCTTTTTTTTAGCATGTCGGGTCGGGGGTACTACACCCCCATACCCTGTTTCTTCTTTCGAAAACGTCTTTTGGCTGTTGCGGGGACATTTCTGGCAGGCTCCAGATTCGAAGTTCGTTTTGCTAACTTCCCGAACCTTCCCAGAAGAAAGGCCCAAAGAAGGCTTAGCTAAGTGATTGCAGGCTTTCAGTTCAGGGGAGGTGTTCTGCCCGGCTTACTGACGATTCGGGTACTTCGAGGTTCGCGGGCTCTTTTGGTTTAAGGTTTCGGGTTTAGGGCTATAGGGTTTGGAGTCCTACTGTCCCCAGTACCGGCCCTGTTTATTTCGTTCTTTGGCTCAGGTTCTAGGTTCTCTGAGAATCCCTAAACCCTAAACCTTGCCTTCTCAAGGACGATGCTTGCCTTCTTTCGTCCTAGGCAGATCGGGAACCGAGTAACTCGATGAAGCAAGAGTAAATCCTGTTTACATCCCATGTATCTGGAGTACTTATAACCCTTCTTTATACCCACCTATGAACCTTCAACTAAACCCTAAACTTGGAATATTCCCCCTTATACTAACAGTCCTTAAACGGGATAGTACCCTGTCATAATCCGATTAAGGACTACACTAATAAAAGGGGGAACGTCCCAACCCAAACCCTTAACCTGAAACTTTGCGGTAGTACAAGTGATGCAGGCAGGGGCATCCCTGATACCTTTGCTGGTCACTGGCACGCTGGCCAGCGTTGCGCTGCTGGCAAAGTGAGGTTTCGGGTTTTGGGTCCCTAAACCCTAAACCTTAGGGTTTAGGGCGCTAAAATCTCTTGCAGCCGATGGCAGTCAAGAGTGAGCAGGGCGCTCGACACTTCCTCACTCCAGCGATGCATGGTCAGTTGTACTATTTGCTTAAGAACACCCCCCCCGAAGAAAAAGAACACTTCATAAATAATACTAGTAATATGAAGACTAGTACTAGTGATACTATTCATAACAATACTAATAAATAAAATATTTATAATAGTAACAGCAAGAATAACGAAAAAGTATAATCATAATCACAAACTTAATCTTAATCATAATCACAGTTACGATAATAATATTAAGAATAATCATGATGATAAGGATAATATTCCCTGCATTGCCCTTATAAGGAGGATTATTTGGGTTTTTTGGGATTCTTAAGCGATAGAAGTAGTTCAACCCTGGTTTGGGGGTGCCCGCAGGTAGGCGGGGTGGGGGGAGGGGGGGTGGTTACCCCACCCCTTCTTAGGAAACCATAACACCCTCCATATTCAGTCTTCCATCATGAAAATCAATGATTGCCACTTTTGCGTGCGGAACGCCAAAGCCCCAAACCCGAACCCCTTGCATCTTGCTGCGATACCCGAAGCCCGAAACCCAAAACCCCAAACCGTACCCTAAACCCTAGACCCTAGGCTTGTCTCGGGGGCTGTTGGTACCTCCCTGAAAAACTTCTAACGTGCAACACACTACTGTAACCCTAAACCCTAAACCTTAAACCTTAAACCCTAAACCCTAAACCCTAATTAAATCGCGAGACGTTGGGTGTCCGAACCCTGCCACTGTACATAGCATTGGCCTCGGCCAACCGTTCGCTTCATTGTGCACCGCCATCCATCTCAAAAGAGGTCCCAACCAGCAAGCCGCGGCCCCTGTAGGTCGGGTTTTAGGGGTTTTAGGGTTTTTAGGGCTTTAGGGCTTTAGGGCTTTAGGGCTTTGGGGCTTTAGGGTTTTAGGGTTTTTAGGGCTTTAGGGCTTTAGGGCTTTAGGGTTTTTAGGGCTTTAGGGCTTCAGGGTTTTAGGGTTTTTAGGGCTTTAGGGCTTTAGGGCTTTAGGGTTTTAGTGTTTTTAGGGCTTTAGGGCTTTAGGGTTTAATGATGGCACGAACACTCGGCCCTCAGCGATATTCCCTTTCTTTATGAGAAGGTACTCCTGCTTGCCCCCCAATGTGTGGGCACTACGGGGCTCGGGTAGTCAGGAGTGTGAGCTGCTGTACGCGTGGCTCTCGCCTAGGCGTGGCACTCTTTTTGTGTCGCTTCGATTTAGATGAAAGATCTATCCGTTTATCTACCCGATCCGCCTATTTTGAAACGCAGCTACCCTAGTCGCAACCCCTGTTACATGTACCCATGATGCAGCTTGTCGCAATGCTACGGCTTTTCCAAGGCAGCCCGAACTCAGCTGTTAGGCTCCGCACCTGAACGACCCCGCCCTGCTCCCCACCCTCCAAAAAGCAACAACCTCCCCACCCCCCCCCTCCCCACCCAGACCCTAAATCAACCCGACACCCCTCACACCCGGAACCTGCCGGAACCTTAGGGCCCTAAAACCCTAAACCCCCTAAGAGCGACATAAACCTCTAAAACCCCTGAAACCCTAAAACCCCCTAAAACCCGAAACCCTTTAAGCCACAAAAACCCTGTAAATCACCCGCAAGCCCTAAACCCTAAACCCTATAATTAGCCATCTAAACCCTAAAAAATGCCCCAAAGAAAAACCCATAACAAAAAAAAAAAAAAACAGAATCCCCCCCAAACCCTATAATTAGCCATCTAACCAAAAAGCTCCAAAAAGGCCCTCAACCCCCCTAAACCCTAAACCCTAAACCCCAAACCCTAAGTTGGGGGGGGCTTCGGCGCCACCTTAGGTGGCTCAGCGCCTTGGAGCTCCTGACAAAAATCCCCGCTGCCACTTTGCAAGGAGCCTTGTGAAGGGATCCTAAGGGATCTCAAGGGTTTAGGGTTTAGGGTTTAGGGTTTAGGTTTAGGGGTTGTAAGTGCTTCTTGATTCAGATTCAAGCAGGCTTTGGGGTTTTATAAGTGCCTTTTGATTGGGGTTCTACTCGCAGGGTTCATTCGGCAGTCCTCCAGCTGCCCGGTAGCCTCCTGGGTGGTTCAATCCCACATCGGCAGCGAGCAGGAAATGTCGTGACCTACAGTGCCGCACTCGCGGCTTGTGCAGATGCCGCACAGCTACTTGGTAAAGCACAGAGGCTTTGTGGGAGGTTCACGATGTAAGTGGGTACCTTATTGGGGTCCTTTCTAAAAGGGATCCTGCTCTTTGAGGGTCTATATTTGGGGTCCCCTACTTGCGTAAAACCCCCTTGTTGAAGAGATGCTGGAACCCGTTGGAGATGGCTTAGGTGGTGCCGCGAATGTGCAAACCCCAAATGCAAAGAACCTTTCATGTCACAAAATGCTGCAACAGGCAGTCGCAGGTTTCTCCATCTTGGTTACGGTGTTGCGACATTGACAAACAACTCAGCTTCTGACGGAAGCGAAACCAAAGCAACCTCTAAACCCTAAATCCTGAATCCTAAACCTTAAACCAATCCAAGGTGGCCTGCGGCGTGTCAGCTCTTCTGGAACATGGCCGATTGCCCAGATTCAGCTGAAGCTAGGAATCCCAGCAGAGCATGTTCCCCTCCTCTTCGGCTTAGGGCTTAGAGCTCAGTTTAACCTTTGTTTAGTCCTTGCTGGGGTGTTCATGGAAATGGTGCGCTGAGCTCAAAACGAAGGGCTTTTGAGGTTTTGAAGTTTAGGCCGAACTCGTGAGGTCAACGCATCCGTGGAAGCAAACACCGTGACCTTCGGTGCTGCCACGAGTGCCTTCGCAGCTGCGGTCCAACTCTCAGGGGCGTCCTTACTGAAGGAATGGGCTTTAGAGTTTAGGGCTTAGGGCTTAAGGCCAAGTACCCCTTAGTTGAGGAAGGCACCTTGAGTCATAATAGGAGTAATAGGAGGTTCTCAATATGAACGAAGGTATATCTCGCTTTGTTCAGGGGTATTGGGCTCTCTGGTTCTGGGGCGGGGTGTGAATGTCGAAAGCTAGCCTCACAGGCCTTTCTGAAGTTACCTTAAACCCTAAACCCTAAGCCCTAAACCCTAAACCTGAACCCTGAACCCTGAACCCTAAACCCTACACCCTAAACCCTAAACCCTAAACCCTAAACCCTAACCTAAACGAAAAAGCGCTTGCTGCAAAGCAGAGAGGGCCCATCAGATCAATTCTTCGGGCAGCTTAGGGACTCGTCGGCAGTACCCGGGCGGGCATTTGGCAACATTGGGTCTCCTCTGCCCCTGACACCCCCGCCACCCCTCCCCCCACCTTTTAATAACCGTTTCCACCAAGACCTTCCATTCCCGGGAGTGGTTTTTACGAATCAAGCATAAGGGTAAGGGGATTGCTCATGACCCCTATACTTCCAGCACGCAAAGCCAAAGCTCCAAGAGGTCGGCAACGAGCCTCCACCTTCTTGTCACGTTAAGCGCTGCATCGGGGGGTTTAGGGTTTAGGGTTTCGCGTTTAGGGTTTAGGGTTGATTGTTGACCTGTAACTCCCAAACCCCACAAAACAGTAGGTTGTAACCCCCTCAAGCCCCCAAAATCGTAGGTACATGGAGCCCCCAGGTAGGGTGTACTCAGGTCACCAATAATTCTTATATTGCCCTTGCAAGGAAGCACGTTTCTATTCTTATTTTGGGGAGAGAAGGGGGGGGGGGGGGAGATCTAGAGCAAATAGTAGTTTTGGCGAGGACTGGAGGCTGGCCATGTCCATGCTCAGCATGATGGTCCAGGACCCCGAAGCGCCAACCTTGGAGCCTAAACCCGAAACCCTAAACCCTAAACTCTAAACCCCAGAAGAGATCGCCATCGACAGTGGATGGGGACTCCAGGATACTTTCCTGCTAGCTCTGAGTGTGATTCAGTTGCACCGGGACTTCGGCAAAGTCCTGAAGATGTCTGGTCTTCTTGATCTGTCCTACACAACAGTGGGTTTTCCAAGCCCATGGTTGAAAAGGAGGCCGTGCGCATCAACACGGTCGTTCTGCTTGCCGCTCTTGAGGCCTGCGCTTCAGTGCCTCAGCTTGAACGGAAAGCTTAAAGGGTTTAAAGCTTTCACCAGGGCATAAGCCGTAAAGGGTTTTAAGCTTTCACCAGGACATAAGCTGCCAGTTGCCGTGTTACCCTTTGTTCTACCCTGTTCTTCGGGAGTTTTGCAGTAAAACGTTGCAGGGTTGGGGTTGCACCTCTAGCGCTCGAGGACCTGCGGTGACCCTCTGGTATGTATCGCTTTGGGGTTACGAGGTCAGGGTTTAGGGTTTAGAGTTGAGGGTTAGGTTCCTGAGCAAAAGCCATCAACAGGTCCACGGAAAAGGCCCTATTTGCAGGGGGGTTGGGGTTGTAAGTAGGGACAGGCGAGCCCTTATCCCCTAAACCCTTAACCCCTAAACCTTAAACCCTAAACCCCTAAACCTTAAACCCTAAACCCCTGAACCTTAAACCCTGAACCCGAAACCTCAAACCCTGAGTTCCTAAACCTTGAACCCTGAACCCCTGAAGCCACGAACCTCCCTTAAGCAAGAATCAAGGCCGGTCAGTCGGAGTCGATCCTGGCACTCTCCACAGAGATGTCGGATGCAGGGGTGCCCATCGTCCCTTGGTTGCGGTTTAGGGTTTAGGTTTAGGGTTTAGGGCTGAGGGTTTAGGTTTTAGGGCTTGTGAAGGCACATGGGGAGTTTTATAAGTAGGGCTGTTTACACCTTGACTGGTGTGTAAATACAAAATTGCTCAACTTATGTGTAGGGCTTAATCTACACACTGAGTAGAGTGGATTGCCGATATAAGCGCATACCCCAGTGCTGCATTGGCAGTGCCTGTCAGGATGCAGAGACCTGCAGCGCCATGGTTGCAGCGGTGGCCTCAGCTCAGGCAAAGAGCCTGACAGCAAGACCAATTGTTTGTCCCCATTAAGGGGGATGATACTATGTTTGGGGTAGAGAAGGGGTGCCCAGTTTGGGCAGCACGCATGAACCCCCTCAGTCAGCTTATGATGAGCCAAAGCCAAAATTTTGGCTGAACATGTAGAATGTGGTGAGACGGAGTGGATATCCTTCAACCTTTCGGGGTGCTCTAAATACCCTAAACCCTAAACCCTAAACCCCAAACCCTAAACCCTAAACCCTAAACCCTAAACCCTAAACCCTAAACCCTAAACCCTAAACCCTAAACCCTAAACCCTAAACCCTAAACCCTCCCTTCAGAACCCGATTGTTCGCCTTGAGCCTCCACTCCCTAAAGCTTAAGCAAGCCCTAGACTCCCCAGAAGGGCGCAAGAAAGCCAAGAGCTCCCTAACGAAACTCTCTCGAGACTTCCCCCTCCCCCAAACAAGAAAAAACAATTGTTTGACTTCGAACATCCTCACCCTCTCTTGGTAGAGATACTCTAGGGTTGGGCACTCTAGGACACTCTGGGCTGGCACTCCGGAAACACTCTGGGGCTGGGCTGGGTTGGGCACTCTAGGGAGACGGACACTCTGGGGTGGGGTTGGGCACTCCAGTGGGGCTGGGCACTCTGGGGACTCCAGGGATGAGCGAGGAGTAGACCGGGTGAGGAGAAGAGTTCCTTCCGAGGAGAAGAGTTGAGTTTAAAGTCTAACAACCCCAAAACGAGGGTGGGCAAAAAATAGAAGGAGAAAAAAGAGAGAAAAAAGCCCTCACCTGCCCCCCACCCCCTTGAAACAAGGCCTGCGATTTCCGGCGGCCGCGGCGTGCGGCCATGCTGCTGGCAACCGCTTCCGAGGCGAGCCGCTGAGCCGGGCTGAGCACGTAAAGAAGTAAGTCGGTACATCGGTTTAGGGTTTAGGGTTTAGGGTTTAGGGTTACATGCATGCAATAAGACGTATGTATATGTACACATACCCAAGACAAGGCTTTCTGAATTATCCTGAAGGAGGAGCAAAATACGAACGAGGTCCTCCACGGGGATGGCTTGCACCTCCACCCACCCTGATGATCCTCAGAAAGAAGCGCAGCTACTTAAAATCAGGGCCTGGGTTTAGGGTTTAGGGTTTAGGGTTTAGGGTTAAAACCCTCAACCGTTAAAATTCTAAACCCTGAACCCTAACTTGAAGAAACCCCGCAAGCCCTGTAAGCCCTATAAACCTAAAAAAACCCTTAAAACCCTGCAAACCCGAGAAACCCTATAAACCTTAAACCCGAATCCTTGGCCCAGGACGGTCTACGACAGCTCCGGAAAGCTGTTTCATGAGAGGAAAGTCGCAGAAGTTACTGTGACCCTAAACCCCAAACCCCAAACCCTAAACCTACATAAGCCCTAAACCCCACACGCTTGCCACAAACTAGAACTTCGCGACGCCACTCGACACCACAAGTGTGTGGTCCAACGGCGCACGGGACAGAGCAAAAACAGACAGCCCAATGCCTCTTTATGACGGGAGTTTTTTCCGGGAACTCACGTACTAGCTTCCCTCTTGTAGCTTAAGTTTCACAGGTCTCTTCCTGGATTGCGGAGTATTGCGAGGAGCTCCCACGCCCATTCTGCCGCATGCATCTTTTAAAAGATGCCCCCGAAATCCTCCAAATCCATCGAGAGCCCTTTCTGCTCAAGGTACTGCTTGTAGCACAGGCACCTCAGGGCTTTCACCTCGAAAAAAGTCTCAGGCGTTTTTCAGGAAACTCCTCTGCCTTCGTGGGCTTTCTTGTGTTGAACTCCTGGCCTGCGGTCTCGGGGGCGTCGCGCCCAGAGAAATGGAGCCATGTTTGACGGCACGCCGCGGTCGCCGGCTTTGCTGCGCACTGCTGCTCCTCGCGGTGCTGGCTCCGCAGGGATCCTTAGACACCGAGGGCACTTCAAGGAATGTATACCTTATATGAGTTGCACCGTGTAGCTAGTAGCCAGTAGAGTTAAAGGTCTGTTCCTCGGTGAAAAAAATCAAATTTGTTGGACTTGCTGAGCAACGCACCGGATGGAAAGCAGCGGGCCTGCTCTGGCTGTGTGTTTTTCAAATGGCGCCCAGGCCTGACTTGACGTTTGGTGCCAAGCCCCCAGTCATCGAGGAAGTTCCAAGAGAGGAATTCGAGGCGCATCCGGGGTGGGGTGGTGGGTGGGGGTTTAGGGTTTAGGGTGGGGGTAACATGGCCTGCACTCCAAGAAAGGTTCCCTACTTTGGGTTGCTGTGGGCTTTAGGGTCCTAAGCTGTAACTATATAGATGAAGCCCCTGTAGAGGCTGCATCGGAACGCTTCGAGAGACATGCAGAGTGTCCAGTCAAACCTGAAGGTAGCCATCCCTTCTCCTCGGTCCTGAACAGTCCACCCGCAGATCCATTTAAACCCTAAACCCTAAACCCTAAATTCCCACCCGGCCTGCTTCCCCCAGAACTAAACCCGGCAGCGAGACACACCTTTACTGGATGGACAATGGGTGGAGCCATTGGAGAGTGGTCGAATTCAGCCCCTTTGCTTTAGGACCACTAAAGTGGTGCCTTATACTTTCAAAGGGAACCCCTATGATCCTCCTCTTGATGAGAATACCCTAAAGCCTGGGCCGGAATCTTTCTGTGGACGTTTCCCTGGAGGGTACCCTCAAAGCCAAAAAAAGGCTCGTTTTGCCCGCCCGCCCCCCCCCCCCCACCCCCCCCTTTTCCCCCCCCCCCCCCCCCCCCCCCCCCCCCCCCCCCCCGCCCCCCCCCCCCCCCCCCCGCGCCCCCCCCCACCCGCCGCCCCCACCCCCCCCCCCCCGCTCGAGCCCCCCCCCACCCGCCCCCCCCCCCCCCCCCCTCCCGGCCCCGCCCGCCCGTGTTCCCCCTTACCTGACCCCCCGGCCCGCTACCTTCACCACACCGAGCGACAGCCCCAAACCATAAAAGGCAGTGGTTTGGGTGGTGGCCCGGGTGGGGAGAAAGAACCCAGCACCAATGAAATTGTTGGATTACATTGACAACAGATGCCTTCGCGTGACATGCCGCCCCCCCACACCCCCTGGCTGTGTAGGGGCGCCATTCTGCCGCTGCGCGGCGAGATGCCCCAAACCCTAAACCCGAAACCCGAAACCCGAAACCCTCAACCCTCAACCCTCAACCCTCAACCCTCAACCCTCAACCCTCAACCCTCAACCCTCAACCCTAAACCCTAAACCCTAAACCCTAAACCCTAAACCCTAAACCCTAAACCCTAAACCCTAAACCCTAAACCCTAACCTACTTTTCTCTGAGGCGCTCGTGCATGTTGACACAAGCGAAGAGTTTCCTAGCGCAGTACCCCCCTCCCCCCCATCCTTCTGCACCCGGACCCCCGCAAACAATTAAGATACGACAATCCTCATCATCGGAAGGGGGGGGGGGGGGGAAAGTAAGCTGGAAAGTATGAAATACTGGTTGTGTGTGTGTGTCGAGATCCCGAGACTTCCAGAGGGAGTGTAAGCCTATGAGCTCTTGGGGATTAGGGTTCAGGGCTTAGGGTGAAACAGCCAGGTCTTTGGCTACAAGTCCGCTGACCTCTTTCCAGCTCCGTGGACCGCGTTCTTGGTGTTCTGTGCCCCTAGGATTCCGAGACACTTCCCCAATAAGGACCTTACGGTTCAGGGTTTACGGTTTAAGCTCATCCCCTGTGTCTATGAACTCGGGATGAGCTACTTCTACATAGGGGTTCAGGGTCCACAGGGCTCAGGGTCTTATTCGCATGTTCACGCGCAGTTCGCGCTGAGGACTTGTGTAGTGTAGCTATGGATGATATCCCTATTTGGGATACTTCTGACCTTCTTACTGCCCAGGAAGCTGCAAGTAAGATACCCTAAGCCCTACACCCTAAACCCTAATTCCTAAGGGCACTTCGGGTTTGGGCTGAGGGGGTTGGGTTTCATGGGGCGGGTGGCAAGAGAAAGGTGGTTTAGGGTTTTAGAGCGTAGGGAACCTGAAACCTATCAAGCCCCCGGCACTGTCGCGAATTTAGGGTTTCCGGCTCAGGGTCAGAATCATGGAATCCTGTATCTCAAGGCGGTCCCCTAATTGGGCTGAATTACCCTTCAGCACCCGGGAGCGTGTTTGTTGTGGCGGGGGTGGTACGGGATCCCAGGAGGCACGGGTGTTTTCAGCTCTATAGAGAACTCATAGCCTGACTTCTACCTACCTCATGGAGTATGTGGGTAGCAACGGCCCGGAGGAGCCGCACACTAAATGCAACAGTCACGGACTGACGTGCCGAGCAGGGTGACCTTTAGCCACTTGGGTCTTTTTGAATACCAAAAGGCTACCCCTTCTGCCCCCTTACCCTTAGATAATCTCAGCCAGCAAGAGGCATGGTTAGGAACATTGCAAATATCCGACCGCAAGCATTCCGACGCAGAACATCCTAAAGAGGCACCAAGGACTTCACGAAGGGACTTGGGGGAGACCTTGTTAGGGTTTGAGGGTTTAGGGTTTGAGGGTTTAGGGCTGCATCAAGCTACTCTTGGTGGTTGTGCAGTTGTCGGGGGCAGCTCTTTAGTTACGCATTTGCAGCACTCGCGCGTTTGCTCTGACCAGTGCCCTTTTGCGACAACCCAAATTGCAGGCGTTGCAACTTTAAAGCCTAGTTACCGTAAGATGGGGTACTCAAGAATGAAACTGCAACCCATTCTACTCTTACTCTGGCTTCTTAGGGACCCCTGCTTGCCAAGGTCACGAACAGCAGCTACTTGGCAGACGTGCGGTTTGAATGTTTAACCCGACGAGCTTTCCCAGACGAAGTCAGAATCACCGACTCCTGCAAGGACTTCCAGCCCTGAGCCTTACAGGCCGTAGTCCCTATAGCCCTGAACTCCCTAAACCCTATAACCCTGAGCCCCTAAACCCTAAAACCCTAAAACCCTAAACCCTAATGCCTAAAACCCTACTGCCTAAAACCCTAAACCCTAAACACTAAACCCTAAACCCTAAACCCTAAACCTTTCAAAAGCCCAGGTTTGCTGTCCTGGGCCTTCTTGATCTTCTTCCCGCATTGGCGGCACCTTAAGCCGGTCGTTCTCCTTGCGCCAATCGTGAATGCCATCGCCTACACGCTCCTTGGGCTCAGGGTTTCTGGAGTTTCGGGTTTAGGGTTTAGGGATGAGTCTCATTCTGCAAGTGCTGCACAAACAATGACATGGCGTTCCTTTCGTGCCATACACGCTCCCGCTGTTTTTGAGGATTGTCGTCCTCTACGTGTTCTCGCACCCGAATGCCCAGAGCGACGAAGCGAACATGAAGAGTTTGGAGGGCATCACGGCAATGTTTAGCAACCAAGACGGCGTGTTTGCGGGCTGGTTGCACTACTGCGTCTTCGATCCTTTGGTCGGCCTTGGCGAAGTCTTGGATAGCCAGCAGGTAGGTGTCTAGGCCCTCTTGGGACATTTTCTTATATACTTTCCCTTTATATTGGGCTTAAAAGAGGATACTAGTTAGGTATATTTTCCCCTTATTGGGTTCAAAGAGGATACTCTTTAGGAATCTTTTTCTCAGAGGGCCTAAAAAAGGGGCCATCCGTAGGTGTTCCCCACTTGTTTGTGGTGCCGTGCTTACTTATGACTATGTTTTTGGGTCCGGCGGGCTTCCTCCTCTACCTCGCCATCAGATGGCTGGCGATCTACGTGAAAGATGATGGGTTCTCGGTGCAGTAGCCGTACAATATCCAAGCTTATGTGTACACCTACTTGGTAGCCCAGCGGTACCCTTTACCCTTTTTTTGGTTTATGGGTTCCCTTAGAAACTAAACCCTAAACCCTAAACCCTAAACCCTAAACCCTAAACCCTAAACCCTAAACCCTAAACCCCTAACCCCTAACCCCTAAACCCTAAACCCTAAACCCTAAACCCTAAACCCTAAACCCTAAACCCTAAACCCTAAACCCTAAACCCTAAACCCTAAACCCTAAACCCTAAACCCTAAACCCTAAACCCTAAACCCTAAACCCTAAACCCTAAACCCTAAACCCTAAACCCTAAACCCAACAAACGGGTGCCCTGATCATAGTCTGGTTACTGGGCTACGAAGATGTACACCGAAAAAGGCTCGAAACCGAGCTGAGCCCCTGATCGAGGGCTGCGCCATCTCCAGCGCCCTCATACAAGGTGGGACCCCCTAGTTATAAGTAGACTAGGATGCCCAGTAGTGCCCTTATTCGGGGTTTAGGTTCCCTTATAAACCCCTTAAGCAATAAAGGGCACCCTTTTTGAGCCTAGGTTACTGGGCAGCCTAGTAGAGTTATAAGAGCCCTAAATGGGCTTATAAGGATCTTAAATTATAAGTCCCTTAACTACAGCCAGTATAGTAAGGGGGCCCCTCCTCATACTTCATGCCACACCCAAAGCACCGAAACGCTGATGCGACCTTAGAGCCTTATGGGTTTAGGGTTTAGGGTTCAGGGTTTAGGGTTTAGGGTTTGAGCGTGTACCTAACATTCCCGAAGCCTAAACCATCGTGGGTAACATTAGAGTAGTTCGACCGGTGTTGTCGCTCAGCCTCTCTGGGTTGGCATTGGCCCCTGCACTGGAGGGTTCATACCTCTCAGGATTTTCCAAGTGTGACAGGCGCCCATGCTTTACAGACTACCACAGCCAATGCTTTGCTTCCACCCCCAGACCCCTGGCAAAGTCTAGAAAAGTAGGGCCTCCAATTCAGTATGCAGGCAACACCATTGGATGGCTTATACGAGCCCTTGTGGGGAGTCTACTTTCTAGATTAGTCCAGGGGTGTGGGAAGCTTGCACGTGTCTGTGAAAAGTGCGTCTACTGTCGAGTCTTGTGCAGAGTTTGCAGAGTTTAGAGGCCATTGACTCATTGCAGCTGCAAATCGCCTGCAGATTTGGTATGAAGATCTGGGCGGCATGTGCACAGGGGACCCATGGGTAGTTCTAGCTGGGTTAGAAGGAGTGTATCTGCAGCCATAATATCTGGTGTTGGGAACCTTATGTGGGGGTTTCCGAGATTAGGGGTATTTTATTGGGACCTCCTTATGATAAAGGAATCCTGCCATTTGGGTGTCTATATTAGGGGTCCCTTATTCTCGTAAACTCTCATTTGGGGTTCTTCAGACCCATGAAGCTTCAAGCAGGAAACTGGGCCCAAACCCTAAACCCTAAACTCTAGACCCTAAACCCGAAACCCTAAACCCTAAACCCTAAGCAAGTGGGCTTCAGGGCTCAGCAAGAAGCGGCCATGGCGATGCCTGCTGCTGTTGAGATCCTGCGTGACAGAGCAGCTCTGCCAGTTGAAGCCCAATCAGCGCTAATTTTGCGCCCGCAATGCCCCTATTTTGGAGGGTTTAGGGTTTAGGCTTTGGGCTTTAGGGTTTAGGGAGGTTACGTAGCCCACCATTCTGGGCAACTGTAGGGGGCTAAAGATCGGAGGAAGTTGTCCCGAGCTGAAGATGTCCTCGAAGTTGTATCTTGTCGGTCCTGCAACAGCACAAGCTATCAGAGCTACTAGGGCTATTGGGCTGAGAGCCTTGAAGCAAGGACGCAGAGTTGGCCCGTGTTCCCTTGTGTTAGGGTTTAGGTTCCCCTATCGGAAGCTCCTTTAAACCAAAAAGGGCACCCTTTGTATTCCTAGGTTACTCTTGTGGCTAACCCTAAACCCTAAGAGTACCTTGTCGATGGCCGTCTTGTACTGCCGGATCCAAAACGAAAAATCCCCTACCGTTGTATGTGAGCCACTGTAAGCCGTTGTTGGGGGGGTCGGTGGCAGCTAGGGGTGGGGGTAGCATCGGATTCTGTAACACTGCGACATCCTATCCGAAAGAGATGTACCTGCTTGGGACGCCGCGACCGATTGTAGATTGTAGACCTTGGGCTCAATAGTTCCATCAGATCTCACATTCCAGCCTCATCCGCCGGTTGGTTCCAAGCGCCTTGAACCCCAGATCATGAAGCCTCAAAGCTTGAACCTGACCCTGAAATCCTCAAACCTTGAGCCTGGGGCCCCTCAACTCAAGGGACTGAAGGAGGGACCCTTAGAAGGGAGGGTTACGAAGGGGTTTAGGGTTTAGGGTTTAGGGTTTAGGGTTTAGGGTTTAGGGTTTAGGGTGTTCCCCTCAGAGCCCTGTAGACGGCCGGCCCTGTGGTGCCATGGGTTGCGCAAGCAGCTCTTCATCACGAGCCGCGGGCCGAGGTGCGGGGGCTTAGAGGGCTTTTGGGGGGGTTTTGGAAGGTCCCCTAAACCCAAAAGCCTAGGGTTTTGAGGGCTCAGAGCCCTGGTGCTAGGGTTTAGGGTTTTAGGGTTTAGGGTTTAGGGTTTAGGGTTTAGATTTCAGGTTTCAGGTTTAGGGTTTAGGGTTTCAGGTTTAGGGTTCTGGGTTTAGGGTTTAAGGTTTAGGGTTCCCATGCTGAAGCCAGAGAACCCACTGAGGCTTTGACAGCCTCGCCAAAGTCTGCCCGGATGACATTTCGTTACCTGCGGCCTTGAAGGAGCAGGGTTCAAGGTTTCTTCTTGAGGGTTTAGGGTTTAGGATTTAGGGTTTAGGGTGTAGGGTTTAGGGTTGAGGGTTTAGGATTTAGGGTTTAGGGTTTAGGGTTGAGGGTTTAGGGTTTAGGGTTTAGGGTGTAGGGTTTAGGGTTGAGGGTTTTTGACATTCGGGGGCGCGTCCTGAAGCAGCGTTAGAATGGCCTGGACCCTCGCCCCACAGGCCGAAACCTCCCCCACAACTTGGAGGGTTTTTGGGGCTCCCGAGGCCTCAGGATCCCTAAACCCTAAACCCTAAACCCTAAACCCTAAACCCTAAACCCTAAACCCTAAACCCTAAACTTTGCAGGGTTTTCCGTCAGGATCGGGCTCGGGTCAAGGCAGACAAGAAGCTGGGCCTTGGGCCCAGTTCTTTGCCTGCAGGGTTTTTTTCGGGTTTGGGGGTTTAGGGTTTAGGGTTTAGGGTTTAGGGTTTAGGGTTTAGGGTTTAGGGTTTAGGGTTTAGGGTTTAGGGTTTCGGATTGGCGGTGCACATTAATTATGCCCGAAGCTCTGAGGCCCGAAGCGTGGGTTTAGGGTTTAGGGTTTAGGGTTTTAGGGTTTCGGGTTTAGGGTTTAGGGGTTCGCGACGGCTCTGAATGGCTTGACTAAAAAACCCCGCTGCGAAGTCTCAAGCCCCAACACACCTGAATTCCCAAACCCTAAGCCCTAAATCCACTTCAAAGCCCAAGCCCCAGATCCGAGACCCCAATCCTTTCGTTTAGGGATGAGTGTTTTATGTGTTTTCGTGCTCGTGCTCGTGTGCGTGTGCGTGTGTGCGTCTGTGCGCGTGTGCGCGCGTGTGGGCGCGTGTGGGCGCGTGTGGGCGCGTGTGGGCACGTGTGGGCGCGTGTGGGCACGTGTGGGCGCGTGTGGGAGGGTGTGGGAGGGTGTGGGCGGGTGTGGGCGGGTGTGGGCGTGCGGGCGCGTGTGTGGGCGTGTGTGCACGTGTGTGCGCGTGTGTGCGCGTGTGTGCGCGTGTGTGCGCGTGTGTGCGCGTGTGTGCGTGTGTGTGCGCGAGTGTGCGCGTGTGTGCGCGCGTCTGCGCGTCTGTGCGTCTGTGCGTCTGTGCCTTCTGTGCCTTCTGTGCCTTCTGTGCCTTCTGTGCCTTCTGTGCCTTCTGTGCCTTCTGTGCCTTCTGTGCCTTCTGTGCCTTCTGTGCCTTCTGTGCGTCTGTGCGTCTGTGGGTGTCTGTGGGTGTGTGTGTGTGTGTGTGTGTGTGTGTTGTGTGTGTGTGTGTGTGTGTTTTGTGTGTTGTGTGTGTTTTGTGTGTTGTGTGTGTGTTGTGTGTGTTGTGTGTGATTGTGTG